TTTCAACTCCATTTTGAACTTAATTACCCTTCTTTTAGTTTGCACTAGTTTGCACTTTAGTTTGGAAGGAGGAACAATATTAAAAATCATTATCTGGACTAAAGTGAGTACATTTTTTTCTCAGGAGGGATGATCCGTACTGGCCAGAGGCAAAACGAATGGCCATGAATGATAGGTATCACTCAGATTTCAGTCGCCAGGATCGCTTCCATGACTTTGATCACAGAGATCGCGGTCGTTACCAAGAGCATTCAATAGACAGGTTGGTGTCTTACCTCCAGCAATACCTCCCAGTATTGCCTGAAATTGAAAGACAAAAACTATTTAATGTCACGTTTTGCTGCCTTTACTGTGTGCATGGTTTGCACTTTATTTTTCAAGTGTAGTTTAGTGGCTATGGACCTTTTCATCTATAACCATGAAGAGATCTCTATTGTACCATGAGTTGAAGCTTCTGGCAGGCTTGTTCAGAGTTTTTTTACAATGCTGTTTCACATACTTGTAGGATTCTGAAAAATTTCTAAATAATTTGAAGGCACCTAGCATTTTAACAAGAATATTCTGGTTTATACCTCAGGACTAATTGGTTTTCCAGGAATCCAAAATGTGCCTTGGTTTCCATATATTCCAGCTGTTTGTGTCTTTTGTAGATGTTGGCACTATGAGGAAGCAAGATTTTTCATCTGTGTTTATAGATAGATGGATTTTTATAAACTGCCGTATGTTTTACTACCACAATCTGATTCTAATTGTCTGCTTGTAGGAGAGATGGATCAAGGACAATTATGGGAGATCGGGATGGACAAGTGAGTTGCTTTATAGAGCTACAGAAACATCTTAACATCTTATAACCTGTTTTTTTATAGTGTGTGTCAGATTAAATTTCAGTAGTTGAGAATTACATGATATCTCCCAAAATACATATCAGGAATCAGAGTATCTTGTTTACTTCAATGAGATGAAATTCAATTCAAAGACTTATTATAAAAGATATAGTTATTCTGATAGAAATCAAAACAAGTGAATTGTTTCAAAATAGAGCATTCCAAAAGATGGCGTAGAAGAGGCAGAGGAGCAAAGTACACCTCTATAAGGTTATGTGGAAATAACAGCAAAATTAGTAGAGATGTTTACACTTTCTGAGGGCTGGGAGAAAGACCTTCAGGGCACATTCAAGCAGTGAGAGATAAAGAGTCAGGGAATGCTCAAGTGCCCGTTACTGATGGTTAAACTGTGAGATTTGGAGGGACCTGGATAGTCTGGAGAGTTGGGCAGAGGGCAATATCATTAGGTTCAACAACAGGAAATGCGAAAAGTCCTGCTTTTGGGGAGGAATAACCTTGTGCAGCGATACATGCTTGGGACCAACCAGACCAAAAGCAGTTCTGCAGAGAAGGACCTTGGTGCTGTGGTGGAGAGGATGCTGATAATGAGTCAGCATTGCACCCTCCTGGCAAAGAAAGCCAGTAGCATCCAGGGAAGCAATTAGGAAAAGTATTGCTAGAAGGTCAAGGCCTTTTTACTCAGCACCTGTCTGGTGTTCTGTGCCTAGTGCTGGGCTCCTTGGTACAAGAAGCTTATTGGAGTAAGTGCAGTAGGGCCTAGAGAATCTTCTGTATGAGGAGAGCTGGGACTGTTGAGCAAGGAGAAGAGAAGGCTGATCAATGGGCATTAATACCTCATAAGAGAGAGGATATTGAAAGGATGTAGCTAGGTGCTGCTCAGTGGTGCCCACCAACAAGAGAAGAGTCAATGAGCACAAACTTAAACACGTGAAATTCCATCTAAAGACAATACAAATCACCTTTATCTGTGAAGGTGGTCAAATGCTGGAACACGGAGAATTTGGCTCTAGCTGTGAGGAAACTTAAAACCCAGGGGAAGAATCTTCTAGGCAGCATGCCCTGGCTGATTCTGCTTGAGCAGGAAGGGTTGGACTAGATGATCTCAGGAGGTCCCTTCCATCCTAAATGATTCTGAGATTGAGTAATTACAGCTGAGCAGCTTTAAGCAATTAAGTCTGTTTTGTGCAGTCCTGTAAGCGTTCCTTGCCTTTTAGCATTACCCAGATGAGCGCCATGGAGGACCAGACCGTCACTCACGAGACTCTCGAGAAAGTTGGGGTAGCTACGGATCTGACAGAAGAATGAGTGAAAGTAGAGGGATACCCCCACAGTCACGGTTAGTACACGTAACTAAAAACTACATTTTCTTGTGCATCAAAGGAATATTTCCATATGTGGAAGTAGGACTTTTTGGAAGTACAGTTCTTTTTTTCCAACATTAACTCCAAGTGTGTTGGATGGACTGCGAGTAGCTCATTCAGTTTGCCTTGTCCATCAAAACATGCATCTTGGCATGAATTTTTTTTTGATAACCACACATCTTTAAGTCTTCATGCTTTCAATTGATTTTAACTAACATTTCTATCAAAGCTTGCTATTATCAGGATAGTGGTTCTTCCCTGATACCTTTTTTCATATCTGTCATCTTACTTGGTTTGAGCAGAAGGATTCTACTGAGATTTGACTTAACAGATAGCAGTATAAGATTGCATGCACCTTGGTAAAGTATTTGAGTAGGTTTGTGACTTAGTTTCTATACTTGAATCTATTTTGTGTACTCAGACTAATGTGAGAAGATACGAATTTCATACCTTCACAGGGATGGACGTGACTGGGGAGATCACAGTCGAAAGTTTGAAGGACATCAAGATCGTTCCTGGCAGAGCAGTGTGGATGGAGGAATGATAGGACGGGATCATGAGAGATGGCAAGGTATGGTTCTTGCACAACAATTCATTAGTTGTGCTATGTAAAGAAGAAGAATTACAGGCATTATTACTGAAGTAAAACTATTACTGTAGATATAAAGGAAGCATTTGAATTTTTTTAGGTGGAGGTAGAGGGAGACCCGGCCATGTGATGCATCGTGGAGGCATGTCAGGGTAAGAACTTCGAAAGGAGAGAATGTTTGTTTTCCTTTTAAAGGACATTTCTTCTAAATAGAAACTGGCCAAAGAAACACTGTATGGGAGTATTGGCTTTTTAATTCATTACTTAAATGTCAAGGAATAATAAAATATTCCCATAGGTTTCATGTAGTGCATCTAATGGAAGAGTGAAAAATCAGACAAAAAACTGTAGAGGAACACCCATACTAGCAATCTGATCTGACTAGCAACAGAGTCACAAGAGAACATTAAAATGTCTCAATCACTTTCTAGGCGTGGCAGTTTCATGCAAGGTGGCAATCAAAGTCAGATCATGCATGGAGGAGGAATGCAAGGAGAAGGATTTGCTGGCCAGGAGAGAGCAAACAGACCGAATGATCCTCGTTTCAACCGTCGCTACTGATTGTGTTTAATTTTTAATGCAAGGTGGCAAGTGAAACAAATCTGTTACCCGGGGTTACCATTAATTGTAACTTATGGGCTACTGTAATTTTTTTTAAGCTGCTGCCATATTATGTCACTCAATCCAATGTGAATTCATTTGTTTTGTAAGGTGGTGTTCATATCCCATTTAAAATGTTTGTTAATGAAGCATTCCATTTTGCATAAATAAACGCCAGTTTACAGTTAATTGCTTTGTTTCAGCAGTCCCTGTAAAACTAATTTATTTAGCTGTATGTTAAACCATGTAACTTTGTTTCAAAGATGAAGTGTCAAAATGCCTTACAGCTGTCCTTTTGCACTTTCAGTTGCACATAACTCCCAGAAATACACTGAAATACTGTGTTAACTTAGACCTGGCAAAATTAACTAGCCTACTAGCCACCAGAAGAGAATCTGCACAAGTATCTTAGGACCATTATTTTCTGGGGTGTGTACATAGGTAACTATGACAAAAACTCCTGCAAGAAAAGCTGTGCTGCTTCAAAGACAGTTGACATTGGGAAGTTAAGGAAGCAATGGGGTATAGACAGAGGTTATCAAGGTTCTAGAATGAGGTGAAGCATCTGGCACCTGCACAACAGAGAACTCCCATGTTTACTAAGTTTGTAGCTTCCATCTGGACCATAGGTTTGGACCCATCAGGCAGGAATTAACTTAAGCACTTTTTAAAGCTATTTATACCTTAGTCAAAGCCTCTGAAATCTCTTGGCAGTTGGTTTCATCATATAGCTGTTTGTTAAAAAAGGAAACAAAACTGAAAATCCTTCATTGTCGTGTTTTAAATCTGATTCCTAATTTGAGTAAGCTCTTATCTTGCTCTCCCTTCCTACCATTGCCTGTTTCCTGTTCTGTAGTTGTGCCTAGTTAGCACATCAGTGTGGAAGAAATGCCGGCCCTGCTGCCAGCAGCGAGGTCAATCCCTGTCCCTGGTTTTAGAAGCATGAGCAACAGCTCTGAGACAGAGACCTGAGAACAGAGAGGTTACAAGCTGTGCATTTACAATAACCCATCTGATATACACACAGACGCTTCCTGTGAGGAGGGAACAGATTCATACTTGTCCTGTGCCATGATATAATGACTTCACCAACGTCCATGCTACAATCCCATCACAAAGGGTTAAAAATAGACACTCAGTCTGTAACTTCATCTTAGAGTAGTGATGCCCTCTAGGCCATTGGTGCTCCTTCAGTACACCTTGGCTGTGACTGAAAACTGACCTCGGAAAAGTTTTCATCCACATGAAAATGAAAACATGCAGAGTCTGCCAAATCTAACAAAATGTTTCATGCAGATACAAAGTGTTTCATGCTCAGTTACTCTCCCTGTGCTTGTATAAATGCCCTAGGCCATCTTTTACAGCATCTTTTACCTTGGATTTTTATTTTTTTTTAACTCTTGTTGGCTTGTTTTGAATTAGATGGCATTCGCTTTCAAGATTAATTCAGCTTCAGAACAATCTGTTTAGCTACCAAGCTTGGCAGCTTTGGAACAGAGGCAGTACCTCAGCATATGGCCAATACTTCATTACAAATGATCTGTGATCCCTTCTAGGAAAAAGCAATTGTTCCAGTCTGTGTGCTAAAACCAACCCAAATACAAATTGAAGTTCCAAAGTCTTTTATTGTAGCCCTTACATGGCTGAGCTGCCCTCCACAGCAACGGACTGTGCATCCTCTCAAAGACAACACAGGACAATCATGAACCCTGGAGAACGTGTTCATTTGACAAGATCCTTCACATACTTCCAGCCTTCCACCGTGTATTCACAGGCCCTGTCCGGAGCTACAGACAAGGCAGACATGACTGACTGCACTCCTGCAAGGAAAGCAGAGAAGAATTATCCCAAGAAGATCATCATTCAAGCCAAATTTCCCAGTGTTACTCTAGCATTGTAGATCTCTAAACACAAGAGAGAAAAACTGAGCTCTAACTCAGATGCTTTCAAACAAACACCCTGTGGCCTGAAAGATCCTCGGTTCAAGTACAGCTTTATTGTCTCAGTAACATTTGTGACAGAGAAATTCCAACTTAAGGGCCTGTATATGAGAGGAAACAATCACAAGACTGAAACAAAGAACTGGGCTAAGTTCCGTTTTATTTCCAGCCTTGTCACAGACTCCATGGGTGATGCTGGACATGTCACAGGATTTGTGTACCATGTTTCCCCACAATTACACAAAGACTCTTTGCTGCACCACAGAAACTATGTATTTATAGAATACTATAGAAACTAGGTATTTATAACGTGCTTTATCTTCAAACAAGATGTCTAAAATTCTAATAACAACAGGAATGCCCATCCTTTCCGAACATTCCAGGGCTCAGTTCAGACATAATAGCATCTGTAGAGTCTTCAACCTTTAACCAAAGGTACACCTTTCTTAAGTTATCCTTTATTTTTATCCTCTAGTTTCCATGATCATTGCCAGTGCCGATGAACTCACTAGTGCATAAACTCTACTTACTTATTGTGGGGGCCACAGGCCTCCCTGAACACTTTACTGAAACTTTCAATCATCTTTCTTAGATTCTAGGATAGCATAAACATGCCTGTCTTGGGGCAAAGGTAGGCAGCAAGCTTTGCAGGTAAAAGAAACACCAGCTCCCCTGTTAGAAAAGGCAGCCAGGTTTATGGACACACATCCTCCTCCTTATTTCACAATCAAAACAACAAGAAATTAAGTCCAAAGTCAGTCAGTGTACTAGTCTGAAGAAGAATATCCCAGTCCCAATGCTTCTTCCACCACACTGTAACATCTATCAGCTCCTTCTCCATCATTCAATTTAGGAGGATAATGTTGAAATAAGACTAGTATAAGCTACATCACTCTTGCTCCTTTCAGAGCTTGGTGAGCAGTTATTTTACCTTTATTCCAGGAATCAGAGGGGGAAAAGTCAAATTTTGGAGTGGGTGGGAGCTAGAAAGAGAAAGACAAAATATCAGCACGTGAGGGGTTTCACTTAGAGTTCACATCACGTTGGCAAAGCCTCTTGACCTCAGATCTCAAAAATACTTAGGTGCCTACTCTCCCCAAGTCTCAAAAGGGATCAGACATGACACTTTCTGGGGTCTACTCTTTTCCCCATTATCGAGTAGGGGCGGAAGATAGGACAAGTCATTTGGGTGCTTGTGAAAAACATCTCCATGGTTGTCTCCTTACCTGGCTGTCATCTCTTAGTTTATAGTTGTCTCTAATGTGAAAAATGCTTTTCAAACTTGATGCAAAGGCTTCTTTTCTGAGGATTTTAAAAACTAACAGATGAGGGCCTCTTCAGGCAATTTAAATTCAATTTGATGAACTGTTAGCAATTTGAGAATATGGGAGGATAATATTTTCATTGTTTTTTCTAAAAGCATGTAGGATTCTTCAAAAGAAGCTTAGGAATACCACTACACAGTGAAATGTCACCCAGAGCATGTTTACAGTCCCCTCCTTGACCCTGCATAGGCTGGTTACCCCTTCTCCTTTCAAGTAACATCTGTGAGCCATGTATCTCCCCCAAATTTAAAATTTTATTCTCCTTCCATTTCAATCCTCTTCAAAATATTTGCAATGTTAAATCTACTTTCAACAGTAAAACTTCTGCCAACTTCACTGGAATCAGAATATCACCCCAATGTTTCCTCCTCATTCAATGTGTTTGTTTTGCAATGTCCATCTGAACAGCCCTTACCTCCCAGCCTAGGTAACTTGTCCACTCCTGGATAGCTGGAGGCAGTGCTGCCTGAGCTTTTTTGAGTGCTTCAGCACCTTGTGTGCCACTGCCCAGCAGCCCCTGATCATATGCCACATATACAGCAGCTCCAGCCAGGCTTCCTTTGATAATAAGCCTGAAAGGATCAAAAGCAGAACAGTTCACATTATGACCGTATGTCTCAGTAGGTTGTGACTGCCAAAGGGAAGGTATCAGTAAAGAAATCTAAGGGTCACAAATACTCTGATGTCTTACTGCAGACAAAAAGCAGCGGAAAAATATCTAGCTACCTTCCTTTTATTCCTAAGGCAACTACTCCCTGTTAGCCCCTTGAAACTGCACCTATTCACATTTTATCAGTAACAGTTTTCATGAAAAAAATGTGATAAATGTTGATAAAAGGAAATGAAAAAATGGTGATAGAAGGAACTAAAGGATTCTGCAGTGGATAAGCCATCCATGTGGTTCTTGCTGCCTTATTAATAAGGAATCTGATAGACACCGATACCTTGTTAAGCTCAATAAAGTCCAGTTAACACCTGGCTATGGTGTTTGCATTGCCCAGGCTTTTAAAGTTTCCCAGCAGACTGCACGGTGTGCAGTTTTACAGCTGTAGTGGTAACCTACAAAACCGATGACAGGAAGATAGCATTTGGCCTTTACTGGCAATTTCGTTATAAATAAGAGATCTGGAGAGACTGACTTTTTCAGATTCACAGGACAGAGAGTTGTTTTCCCTTTAAAAAACCAGGAAAAGCTATTGTATGAACCAACCAACCAAAACCTGCCAGACAGTGGTACTGCAGTAGTAGAACACAGGGACAGATACAGTTGTCGAGAGAAGCGAGAATCAATACTTAAATTCATGTATTCACACGTATTTTGGGAAACAGGGATTTCTCTGCTGAAACGTACTGTTCGCTCACAAGAATACCCTTCCGCGCTTCCTCCCTGCCAGTGCGGCTGTATTTCCAGATCTGAGCGTGTTCCCTCGGCAAATGGGCGCCCTTCCGCGGCACTCTGGGTTTAACGTTACGTGTTCATGCTCGCCCCGAAAAAAAACGCCGCAATCCCGTCCGGCAGGTGAACACAGACGAGGAGCTGCCGGACGGGAACCAGCCGGGCGCGGGGGCGGCCGAGGCCAAGGGCGCGGCGCGGAGGAGCGAGGCGAGGCCGGGGCTACGGGCACGGGCCCGGAGAGCCGGGGATTCCCGGGCGCGGGAGTCGGGGGCGGGCGGAGAGAGCAGAGCGGGAAGGGCGAGCGCCGGGCCGGGCCATGCGGGCAGGGCCGCGGGGACTCACTTGGCGGCGGGGACGAGCCGGGCGGCCATGGCGGCGGTGGCGGGACTGCGGGAGCCGTCACGTGCTCCGGGCCGGGAGCTCCGCCCGGCGGCGGCGGGTCGGCGGCGGCTTGCGGGGCGCGGCCGAGAGGGCTGTGGGGCAGGAGGGACCGTTCAGCTCCCCGTCCTCACGCGAGGAGAGCGGCTCCCGAGCACCCCGAGGGCGGCTCGCGCTCTCTGTGGCGGTGTCCCCGCCGCCAGTTTGTCGTGGTGTATCTCAACATGCCGGCAGAGCGGGTTATCCCGCTGCGCGTCATATCCCGACAGGAGATCGGGCCCGCGCGGCAGCCCCTTGTCCCCACAGGACAAGCCTCCGGGCTGTGCACTCTGCCGCCCCTCTCCCGCGCTGCGCCGGCCACCTCCAGGTCCGGCTGCTTACGGTGGCTGCTGCCAACTCTGGGCGCCATAATTCTTCAATGAATTAAACGTTCTGTAAGATTAGACATAAGGGGTTTTGGTTTTTTTTTTCTCCTGTAGGCTTGAGGGGAAGTCACGCTGTGTGGAGGCTGGCTCTGAGCTGAGGGCTTTCGCAATTGCCAGTGAAAGATCCTTTTCGTTCTTGACAAAGGTAACTGTGGCTCCCGGTGGGGGAACGACTCAGGTGGTGTTCTGAGTGAAACAACTCAGGTGGCGTTCTGGGTTCTGCACAGGACATTACATGCCTCTTGCAGGTTGGCTCCCGGTACCAGAGAAAGGAGAATACAGTATTTTGGGTGGAGTGCTCAGCTTCCAGACTTCACTTTGTTCTTCACAACTTGGAGAGATATGAAGGCAATTGGAAGAGCGCTTTGTGCTGCAGGAATTGTAGCTGGGCTCGTAGCTTTCTTCTGGAAAGACCCTTTTATCCCAGGTAGGCTCACCAGGGGGATGATCTCAAGCTGAAATATAAGTCACAGAAGAGAAGAGGTTGAATTTCCAAACTGACTGATGGTCTCATTCCTGCCCATTGTCTTACCAGAGTTGGTTGCCCCAAAGCAATGCTTCATTCCCAGAAACAAAGAGAAGCTTGAAACAAAGAGGAGGACAAAATTGTGTAAGAGCAGGGATCCTGCTGTCTGTGTGGGGGGAAAATGGCACTTTGCCACTGCATTTATCATTTTATCTTTTGGTTGCAAACTCCTTGATGTCAAGATGGATCTCTATAGATGTAAACTGCCCAGCACAAGAGGGCTGACCTGTCTCCAAACTCATGGCAAAGAATAAATGATATGCAGAAGGCACATAGCCTGGTTTATGTTGCACAGCTTTTCAGAATGTGAAAACCGATTTTCTTGAAAGATTTTTGTCTAGCAACCCAGGCAAAGGGAATATGACACAGCTAGCTTGCATAATGATGTCATCATTCCCTGGCAGTGAGAACAAAGTACAATGGCCATCAGAAACACACAGTAATGAAGCAACACACATCTTGGGCAGTTGGGCCTGGGAGTTGGTCCATGGTACTGTTAAGTATTCTTCAGGTCAGTCCTGCCTCTACTTGAGCACTTACATACATCTTTCTGCTTTAGAGCTCTGCCAATAGTTACTAGAGCAGCTCCTCTGCTGCTTCCTTCACTTACTTCTATATATTCTATTCTCTTTCCCATAAATAAGAGAGCTTGTCTGGTGCCCGTGTTCTCCTGACTGGAGCCAGTGCTGGGATTGGAGAGCAGATGGCGTATCATTATGCCAGATTTGGTGCTGAAATTGTTTTGACTGCTAGGAGGGAAGCTGTGCTGCAGAAGGTAAGAACTTCTTCATTGTATGAGGGAAGACATAAGAGATTTAGACTTTTACCAAAACAGCAAATTAGTTGTCCGTATGATAAATTTTCCTTCAGAATTGTTGTTAGGCATATAAACCCAGAAGGAAACTTGGCCTGTACCGTAAGATTTATATACACTGCCTGAACTTTTTACTGCCTGAATATTTACATGAGGAAATAGTATGAAGCTGTGTCAGGGAAAATTCAGATTGGACATTAGGAAAAGGTACTTCATTGAGAGAGTGGGGTCAGCCAGTCACTGGAACAAGCTCCCCAGGGAGAAGTGGTCATGGCACCAAGCCTGTCAGAGTTCAAGGAACATCTGGACCACAGATGTTAACCATATGGTTTGGTTTGAGGTAGCCCTCTGAGGACAGGGAGTTGGATTCAGTGATCCTTGTGGATCCCTTCCAGTTTGAGATATTCTGTTATTCTATGAACTACAGTTCCTGTGCGATATTGTGCAGCTTTTCAGAGTCCAAACTGTTCTATTTGTAGCTAAGCCTTATTGTAGGTTAAATACTTTTTTGACCAGCTCAAATAGATGTGACTTCATCTGTAGTTTATAAAATGGGGCAATATATAGAGGTGATAACTCTTTAGCTGCAGGAATATGTGACTTCCAAGGAAAGTTCTTTACTATGAAATAGCACAAAAAGTGATCTGGGAACAGCGAGCATAACAATAGTTCCTCATCCCTGGCAGGCATTATTTCAGCAAATAGTTAAACTGTGTGTCTTTACTAGGCACCTTCACATACTCAACATAGCAAAGGAATTATGAAAGGTGGATACCTTTTCAGGTATTTTGGAACAAAAAGAGGAACTTAATGTAAAGCATAACCCATACTTCAGAAGATTTCTCCTGAAGAAAACTGGCTTTTTTGGGGTGAATCTTCATCCTTTTCCAAGGTAGATTTAATCTGCATCCTGCTAAGAGTTACCTCTATTTAACTATCTGGTTAAACAAAGTCTGGATGCAAAATGAGCTCTCTGTGGGCTGAAGAGTAGTAAATTTAAAATTAAAGTGTGTCTCTATCCAGAATTGACTCTCACTCCATAGTTTTTAATCTTTGGATGTGTATTCTCTTTCAAGGTGATGGAGAAATGCCTGACACTTGGAGCAAAGAAAATATTTTATATCCCTGCAGATATGTCTTCCCCTTCAGAACCTGAAAAGGTGGTTCAGTTTGCTGTCCAAAAGCTGGGTAAGCATCCTGGGCATCCCTTTGGCTTTCAGAAATGTAGACAGTTCTCATTCTAGTAGGAGCTTCCTGCTTAAGTTTCCTGAACTGTTCCTCACTGAGAGGGATGTTAAGGACAGGAGGATGTGCAGTTTGTAAATACCAGGTGAGATTTGGTCATCTTTGTAGTAGCCTTTCATGGGGAGGGCATGTCTTTTGCTAGAGAAAAGTATGCAGAAAGTACTTGCATGAAGTGCTCCACTAAAACCACACCCCACAGCGACAGCTGCAGTACCTCACCTGTCACAGGGTACCACATGGACATGTCTGTGCCTTATGTGGGTGAGGACCAGCTGCACATATCCAACCCTCAACATAGTGCCTTGGGTTAAGAGACACAGAAACTGAGACGTCTAAAAGCCATGACCTGCCTCTGTAACAAAGCAAAGGACAAGATATGTCCACTGTTTAGTCCTCATTGTGTCTTCTGAGTTTTTGGTTGGTGCACATTTTGACCATAGCCTACTTTCTGATTGTCTTTTGTGCACCATAGGAGTTGAGTGACTATGGTCTTTTGTCTCTTCACCTTGTCTCATTTGGGTCAGACTGTCATTAGGCAATGTTTTCTATTATACTCACTGTCTTTTTGTCCATTATTTGAGTGTCTTAATTGCTTCATTATGCCCTTGGTTTTCCTGATGTGGGCGTCCTAAGAAGCTGTATAAGTGTGCTGTGATCTGGATAAACCGTCAGTCCAGCAGTGCTGTTTCTACTGTTACATTTCCATACCAATCATATTTTTTCTGTTACAGAATTGTATACTTGTAACTTTGGAAATAGATGTACCACTAGAACTAGGTTCTGAGTCTGAAGCACCCTGAAACATCATTTTGGATAGCTCTTGTCAAAGAGCTGTCTAACACCTTTCCTTTCAATTCTACCTTTGAGGGGAAGTCAAAGCTGCTCCCAGATGAGCATATTTAATCTATCTTCATGGTAAAACACTTTCTAGCCTTCTGAGGGAGTTCCTGGTTTTTTCAGCCCTCCTGCTGGCATTTCTGAATTCCTTGGTTACTGGTTAGGGGATAGCTCCTTTGTTTTACTGCTTTTTCTCCTGTCCACAGGGGGACTGGATTATCTGGTGTTGAATCACATTGGCACGACCCATTTCCAGATGTGGACTGGAGATGTGGAATACACCCGCTGGCTTATGCAGGTGAGGTTTGCCAGCAGGAAGAGCTCACGTGGAATTGGGTGAGTCAGGCTTCTCCTGGGACAGCTTTGGGAAGCTCCAAGGCAAATTCAAGTCTGTGGCAGTGGTTGAAAACAAACCTTTTATTTCATCCATGTTTCAAGTCAAACAGTTTGGAGGTTTTGTTAGTAGAGAGACCTTTTGCCCAAGTGTTGTACATTTTGCGAAGAGAAATTTTTGGGAAGAACTTCCGATTTCTCTCTCTCTTTCTGTCCTTTTTATCTCTCATTAACCCAGAACTGTTGGGATCAATGGGTAGTTACAGTTAAAGTGTCTGATTTAGGAAGGCCAATAGGTGAGCAGCAAATACTTCCTGCTAATCTATGGCAAGTGCATGTGGCATTGCAGAACACAGCAAAGTTGTTTAAAATGCTGTCTGCCATTTGAGTCTCTGTTCACAGATGTACGGTTTTCCTATAGAATTACCTTGGTTCCAGGTTTCGGGACCATGGAAATGAGGAGCTATTTTCTTGATTCAGTCTTCTTAGTTCGGGTGCATCATACATACTAGTTCTGTTTCACTTTGGAAGGAGCCTGTTTACTGGAGAGTGGGAATTTAGGGTCACAGGTAAGAAATCCTTACAAGTTAGAGAGCAGTCAAGTGCTGAAGAGATACTGAATTTTATGTTTCATTGTAATCTGAGCTCAGTCAAGAGAAACTTAAAGGGGAGCAAATTGAGACACTGATATCCTTGTTGCTGAATAGGGATTGCAGAGTAAAGAATAGCATACAGAGAAATCAGGGACAACTAATTGTATCTCGTCAAGAAATCTTTATGTTAAAAACAAGGAATAACTTTTGCTCTGAAACTTCTCCACTGCTTTTTATGGAATCTGCAAGACTCATGGATGCAATGTTTGTCCCCATTTTTACAGACATGATTTTTCTCATTTGATGTTTGAAATGGCAAATCCAAGCTATGCTCCCTTCCATTTCTGACCACTGTATTGACTTTCTGGCTCATGTTTTCAAACCCTCTTGCTTCTTCCATGTCTACTTTTATCATTCCAGGTGAATTTCTTCAGTTATGTGGCACTTACAACAGCAGCTCTTCCCATCCTGGAGAAGAATAGAGGCTCACTGGTGATTGTTTCTTCCCTCACAGGTTAGTGACTTTACCTGGAGTAAGTGCTGGCCTTGTGGAACAATGCTTCCCAGCACATCATCTCTCTGTCATTCAACCCCTCAACACATTTTCCAACTGTACATTTTATAGTATATAATAATATTGTAATAAATATATAATAATATGATAATGTGTGTATACACACACACATATAAAGGGGCAGCTCTAGGGCAGGTGCTGCTGCTTGGCTAGAACCCCCTGGGGGAAAGAGGGGGTCAGGATGGTGGCTGGCTGTCTTCTTGTTTTCTGGAAGACCTTTTTCTGTACCATTTTTCATTCCCTTGCATCCTTGCTCTTCATTTGTCATGTGCCCAGATCTGCTTGTTTGACTCCTGTCCCTCACAGCCAGGCCCACCTCTGCTGCATTTCTGACACAGCATTAAGATCGTCCTGCCACTCTCAGGCCTTCTGTCTTTGGCCAGCCTGAATTGCAGGCTGCTGAGCAGGTGCCTCTGCTGTACAGGATGGAAAGGCAGAAGAAAGTCTTCAGTGTATGCTCAAGGGAGCTGCATCACCTTACACAAGTTCAGACTTTGGGTCATCCCTGCCTTGTTGTTGCAATGTGCCAAGGAAATGTCATGGCCAAAGACCCCAGCATGCAACCTAGTCCCTGTGTTTGCATGTTACAGGGGAGGGGAAGGCTGCAGGTAGACCATCACAGTGAGCTTTTTAGTCCAGCATGTGACCTGGTTACTGTGCAAGTTAAAAGAAATTTCCTTCCCTTATCCACACGTGATGGCCTTTGTGCTGAGATTTGTTTACACAAATTGGTATAATTGTCTAAGTACTTGCATGGGACTAGAAATAGAGGGAAACTCACCTGAACAGAATGTGAGTTGAGGCAGTATGACAAAGCCTACATCTTTGCCCAGATTCCCTAACCATGGATTCTCCTTACAGCCAGTTTCCTGGTGTTTTCCATTCTCTCCTTTTCCTTTCCAGGGAAAATACCCACTCCCTTCACCACTTCTTATTCTGCCACCAAGTTTGCACTGGATGGATTCTTCAGTTCATTGCGCCATGAACTTATTATGCAGAAGAGAAATGTCTCTATCACACTGTGCATCCTGGGTCTGATTGATACTGATACAGCATTACAGAATACCAGGTGTGTATTTGGAGGAGGATGTAGGAATCTGGGAGGGAGTCTGCAGGAATATGTCTCTTCTTGAAAGCATGCAACAAAATGCAGCACAACTGTGTTTAAGATGGTGTGTGAATCTCTTTGGATGTGCAAGAAAACCAATGGGAAGTGTGCATTTGTTTGGGTACATCACAGGGGTTGTGCATATCTGCCTCAGCATTGAACATGAGCATGCAGAGCCCTATGGCAGTCAGTCTGCAGAGTTAAAACCACAGCAGGGATTGACTGGCTTTGATCCTCTGAATATTTCCTTCCAGGGGCAAAGTGCACATAAGTGCTTCGCCTGCTCCTGAAGCTGCACTCGCCATCATCCAGGGAGGTGCTACAAGGGTGCAGGAGGTTTTCTATCCATGGTGGCTGCAGCAGGTGTGCTGCCTCTGGGTTTTGTTCCCCAGCAACCGGGGCCAGGTTTTAAGGAGTTACTATAACTACAGCAGTCCTTAAGACATGCCCAGTTTGTCTCCTCTCCCATCCTATATCCCTTTTAACTACATTCCCACCATCCCACTAAGCCTCCTATTGGTGTCAAGGAGGAGCAGGGCAGCACTGGTGGCAAAGTAACCTTAGTTCTTTTCCTAAGACGACTCTTGGTCTCCCTCTCATCCTGCTTTAGCCCACAGTTCTAATGTTGCTAATCGTGAGTCAGAGATCTTTCCCACTGTTCTCTCTGTCCTAGCCCTCCTCCCATCTCCCCTCTTTCCACCTCAGCTGTCTGCTTTTACTGCATCCAGCCTTCTCTCAGCCCTAGCTTTAACCTCTGTCTGCACAATCCTGGGACATCCTGCTCCACTGTGTCATTGCTTTTTTGATTCTGTGAAACATTCTTGTTTTATGTAAGTAGAATTTTCATCTCTATTTTAATTAAACCGTTTTTTAATGTGTTGGTATTATATGTTGATACTTCTTCTGTGAAAGAATACTGGTCACTTGGATTCTGTGGGCATAGGCCTGTTGGCAGACATTTGCTGACTGCATGTTAAATCAGCCCCAGGGCTCTGGCGATGTCTTCAAGTGCAAGGACTGTGCAGTAATTGCAACTAACAACATGAAGCAGAGTCCCAGTTACTCAGCAAGTAAAACTTTTATTAAATAAATTCAGGATTTTTTTTTGACCAGAGTGAGGAATTTGACATTGACAGAGCTTGTATTCGCACCTGTAACATTGTACAGTCACATCAGTAACTGTGATGGAAGAAACTGTAAATGCTTGTTTTAAACGAGCTCGACCCAGCATTTCAGAAGTCCTTTTTTTCCTATTTTGCATTTGTTGGTCTTTTTTCTTTTTTTTTTCTTTTTTTTTTTTTTTTTTGTTTTGTTTTGTTTTGTTCAAAATTAGACTAAGTTTAAACTTCATGAAATTACTTGTAGCAGAAATAAAGTACATTATACAAATCACATACATAATAGATGTTAAGTATAAAAATGGTATTTACAATAAGTAAACATGGACTATAGAAACAGACAGACACACAGCTTCATTCATCTCTCATAAACTCTCAGCATCAGATACAGAAGGGTAGTTGAGGAGATGTAAAGGTACGTATAGAACTGTGCCACACACACCTGAACAAAGGGAAACTGGAGGAGAGCGAGAGTTGGCCAAGATTCTCTAAAATCCCCATAGCTCACTTCAGTAAATTGCATCGACGTTTCCCCACCAACCCCCACTGCACACACCCCCACACACAAATGTTTGTGGTACCCTACCAAACTCTGGAATATTTAAACTAACCATTCATTAATCACTGTGGGGTTGGTTGGTTTGTTCTGTCTTGCTTTCCTTATTTTTGTAGACATTTAAGAGATTGTTTCCAACTGTTAAAAGGATGTGCCTTGTCAGTGTGACACATCCCCCACTCCCAGAGGATCTTTCCTAAATCAAGTTCTGAACTACATTCTGTGCTTAAGAGTATGTGTATATAGCTGTCCCTATATATATATATATATATATATATATACTGTATAATGTATTATCAATGCCTTGGAGGGAGTGCTGGGAAAAATTTAAAAACTGAATGGCAACCTTCTTTCATCATATTATCCTTGCATCTGCTGGGGAAAGCTTTGCAACAGGTGCGTGAGGTGAGTCTTCTTGCTAAACTCAGAGGGAGAAAACATCCTGTTTCATCTGGGAATCAGAACTGCCCAATAGGCAGCTCTGCTGTGGCGTTCAACCCCTCAACACATTTTACAGCTTACGGAAAGCGTTAGCTTATCTGACACGGGGAGGCAGTGTGTAGCCCCTGTGAGGCTTCTGTAACTGTTTTGAAGATTGCATCTGCTCACACTCATCTTCTTTTGCCTTCATCAAGAAAATGCTGTTACCATGGAGAGCTACGAAACACGGATCTGTGCCATGTGTGGGGAGGCAGTAGAGTTCCTATACGTAAAGGGACTGGTTTCCTGTGCTCTCAGCCTAATCTGGGAGTGCTCAGCCTGGGGTCTGGCACAACATTCCAGGAGCTCTGTCTGCAAAAGCCCTTGGAAAGGTAAGACTGAGAGCTCTTCAGATCCTTAACCAGGCTGGTGCTACAGTGGATGAGTGACTCGAGCTGAACATCTGACTGCGGCCTAATCCTGGAGGTAGGTATTTCTCCTCCTCCTTGCTAATGTTGAGCAGACAGATGATCCTCTCTTTTTCCCTACCCCCTGCCACCTTCCCCCTCTCTCTCCCCAAGCATCTTCTCAAAATGTTCAGGCCTATCTGCAGCATGTGCTGAGAAGACACTCTTGCAAAGGTAAACCCCGAACTTCCCAATACCTCTTGCAAGCAGTCCATCTGAAAAGTTTGGTCCTGTGAGCCACTTTAAAAAAAAATAGAGACTGTATATATATGTATATTTATCTATGAAAGGGCCAGAAATGGAGGAAGAGGGAGGGAGGGATGGGACTAAACTTCCATACATCACTGCATTAACCTAGAGACACATCAGTGGGTTTTCTTGGTCCACATACTCCAGCCATACCCCAAGAGGAAGAGGTTTATGTCCCCAGGGGCTGCTGATTTGCTGGTCCCTTTGCTATGCACCACATTAGCAGCAAATATGTGAGTCGGTCGTGGCAAGAATCTTCCTCCTGGACAGATATTGAGCCTTCTCTTTAATTGCATGTCTTGAAGAGGAGGGGAAGAGGAAGATATGGTGGGTAGGTGGGAAGCAGAGGAAGGAAAGGGGTGGTGTCAAAAGAGTCGACAAATTTACTGGCCTTTCTGTAAATCAACCTGAAGCAGAAATTCTTCCTCTGGACTTTCCTTCCTTTCACCTGAACAGAAAGGGAGGAGGGAGGGAATTGGGAGATTAGGAAGACATCTATGCAAGCCTCAGGCTTTGAGTTGCTACTGCTTAAACATGAAGGACTAAGACCCAAATCAGATCAGCCCTCCCTTGCTCCCTATCTGTAGGCTGGCAGAAGCCAGCTCTTTGGCAGCAGCTGTTGTGTCAGGCAGCTCTTCTGGGGTCCTTAAGGGTCTCACCTTTTCTCTGCTTATCTCTGATCTCTGTGAATCATGGGATTATCCCTTCTTACGCCAGAAAGCATTCTCTGCAGACTAACTTCAGGCCCATGTAACAATTGAAAAATGGCGTTTAAAACCTTTTTTAGGCAGACAAAAGTTCTGAGGGAGCAGTTGGACAGTAGACTGAAACCTTGCTTAGACCACAAACAGAACCCATCTGCCTGTCAGGGCCTGAGTGCACTAAAAGGCCTTAATGAACTTGACGAGCCTCACCAGCAATTTCTGTCCACCCTGCCCACAGGTCCAAGTCTCATTATAGGTCAGGCCTGTGTCATCAGCCTTTGTCTGATCTACACTGTGGAAATTCCAGTCTCTACCTGTCCATGGACATGTCCTGTCCACAGATCTAATTACCTGGACTTCAACTCTTGGATTGTCTTCCCATCTTGATGTCTGATCTGTTTATTATTGACATTATAAACTTGCCTGGCAATCACTGGACTATGTTTGACCCTATTTACTTTCACCAGACCTGATCCTGATCTTGACCTGCAGATTGACTCTCTGGTTTGCCTTTGGGCTTGCCTCATTGCCACAAATTTGCCTGATGATCTAGACTGTTCAACCTGGCCATCATCTCCAGACCTGCTCTGGTCACCTTGCTCAGGTGCTGGGGCTGGGCCCTGGCAGGTGAGGCCACTGCCCCACTAGCTGTACTATTGCCTTCAGCTTGTGGCTCCCCACTTCCAGACCTTGCTGTCCTGACACTGGCCAGCACTGTACAGAACTGTGCTACGATGGTGCCAGCTTTACCTTGTGCTGCAGAAGTGACTCCTGCTGTTTACTGCTGTCAGTAGGGATGGTTAGCATCCTTGGGTCGTTTTAACTGGACCTTCAAACGTTTCATGCCAATTTGGAAGCCATTCATAGCCTGGATAGCAGTCTGTGCACTGGATGGGTTGTCAAAGCTTACAAAACCTGAAGGACAGCACACAGGCATGGATAACAACGGCACTGTTGGTGCCATGCCCAATACATAAATGTCATCAGTATCTATCATGCTTCCCTCACCTGCTGGTGTCATCACTTACCAAAACACTTGCTCTGGTTGGTGGCACGATCCATGAATACCTTAGAGGAAATGATATTGCCAAAGGGCAGGAACATCTGCATCAACTCGTTGTCTCCAAACTCCTGAGGGAGATGGTAGATGAAGAGATTGCAGCCTTCAGGACCTGCAGATATGGGGGCAGTGGGGAAGGACAAAACAGAAAACCCCAAAGGGAAGGGGAAAAAAATGGGCTCAACTCACAGCACAGCACTGGAGGAGAACCCTAGCACTGCCTCCTTCTGCTTTGACCTCCCCTTGTTTGTCTCTCAGTCACTTTTTCCCAAAGGATTCTGAGGGCTGTCTAAGAGCAACTGGGAGGTAATATACAAAGCTGAAGTTTCTGGAGAGCAGCTTCGCTTTCAAACCTTATCTAGTTCCCAAATAGTGTGCTGGACACAACAACTCTGTAAGTGTCTGGGTGTTGTTTTGATGGAAGGAACTCAGCTGAGGCAAGAGTTCCTCGTTCATAGCTCTCCCAGTCCTAGGACAGCAGCAGACACTGCTATGTTAAAGCTGCTCCTCTGGCATTCCCTGCCCACAGTTAGGCAGAGGTTGCCTTCAGTCCATAAGCCACAGCCTTAACCCTGGACTGCCGTACATCCCATTTATGGGCTGACCTGGTCCTTGTCCACTCCTTCACAGGCTCCTTGTGAGCCTGATGAACACAAGAAGCTGCTCCCTTCCTGACACCTGCTGTAAGAATCAGGAGCAGAGAGAGAATGCCTTTGCCTCCAAATTCTATTTAGGCCAATTTTGAAATAAGCTGAAAAATAAACTCAGGAGGCTATGAAGGCTGAAAAGAGAGGAAAGTACATTGGGAGAGACTGATTTGACTGGTACCACTGTGGTAATGGCATCAGTGAAGATGGAGAGGCAGTGTTCTTTTCCTGTGACTGTGTAGGGAAGGTGCTGACCCTACCCTCTGATGTGAAGGCACGGTGTTCTGGTGCCTATTGTCCCCTTTGTACCTGGCAACATCTGGCCAGGGACAAGTTCAGGAAGTTTGCATAACAATCATCCTGTGAACTTTTTTAGTCCACTCACGGCAGAGATGTGGTTGTTTCCATAGCCCAGTTCCAGTATCAAAGATTAGCTGATAAAAATTAGTGCTGTCTCCTCTCCATTGGTTCTGTGGTGCAGAAGATGAGCTGCACAAATCCCACCCATGTCTTGGGACACACATAGTCCGATTCTGAACCTCACCTTCTCGTTGCTGCTGCTGCAGGATGGGAGGCTGCTGAGGGATGCTCTGTGCAATGGGGGTGATGGTGGTGGTCGGATACACAGCTGTAAGTCCAGAGACAGAACAAACCATTTACCTGAGGATCTGGTCAGCCACAAAAGGGCCTGAGGGAGACAAGGGAAGCTGGTACCTGCATACTGCTGAACTCCTGTGAAGGTTGGGTGCAAAGTCTCTGCTACTGAAGGGTTCTGGGCTGCAGAGAAAAACATAGTCAGAATCATTCGTGCATTTTGTGTATGTGTGTGTGTGTGTGTAGTGTTGTTTCCCACCCCCTGCCCCCAGGTGAGTCTCAGTGCCTGGCTGGTATGGAGCTAGACGAGTATTCTCTATGGGAAATCCAGAAAAGAGGAATTAATTGCAGTTCCTCAGGTCTCTGGATGGTGGGGTTTTTTCCTGCTCTCAATACCTGAATATGGCACAAGGCCATTGGTGTAAACTGTTTCCAAGGTTGGATGCCCATTTGGGAATGGTACCACTCCAGTAAATCCATTTGAAATTGGTGCTACCAGTCCCGGCATGGCTGCTGTTCCCAGGAGAGATGGTGAATGTAGCCCTGTAGAACAAGAAGAGAGGGCATCGCATGAAAGTCAAGGTCCTACAAAGCCCATGTTCCCACCTTCCATCTGCCTGGCAAGGCTGCTGTGTATGAAGCTATTATCTCTTCTAGTTGGCATGTGGAGATGACAGACTAGTGCTGGAGCCTTCACAAAATTAAGAGGCAGCACCAGTGAGAAGAGTGTGCAGCACTGCTAGTACTAACTGCTGTCAGAGCTTTGGGATGGAACATTTTTAATCTGGGTTTGCGCAGCACCTAGCATGATGCGTACCTGTTCTTGACGGGCATTCAAACCCAAATGCGCATTATTACTCTGGAATGATGATAATGAATAATAGCACTGCTGACCTCAGAGTCAAGTGCAATCCTGGGAACCCTGTCCTCCTCAACTATATCAAAGGGAAAAACTGCAGCTAAAATGAAGAGCAGTAGGACAAGAGAATGTGTATTGAGCATGTGAGGGTGACAGGAAGGTTGCAGAAGTTTATGCAGACTAGAGACTGCTGTGCTCAGAGGCTCCATTGTTAGAAAAGAGAAAATAATCCACATGCTGCTCTAGGAACTGTTTTACCTGGGTGGTCACCATGCCAAGTGCTGGGGCAGGAGGCTCACTGGCAGTGAAGGACCTGCTGCGTCCAGGCCCTCACCTGATGTTGGTGCAATGGGAGCAGCTGGCAGCCCGTTGAGACTGATGGCACCGATCTGCTGGATGTGGCATGGGGAGAAGGCGACGCCTGGGTTCAGGTAACTGCCATGGGAGGTGGAGAGAACCGTTGTCTGCTGCTGCATCAGCTGCAAGGCAGGACCGTGCAGTCAGGGCCCGATGCTGCCCAGGGCCTCCTGTTGCCAGGGCCCATGGCGGCCATGCCAGAGCTGGGGGAGGCTGCACAGGCCAACCCAGCCACTGCCTTCACCTGCCACAGCCAGGACTAGGGCCAAGCTGGAAATGAAGCCTTGTGACCTCCCCCACCCCCAGTTGCCGTTGCACGTCACTGGGCTCCTGCCACCTGCCCTGGAGCTTCCCATGACATTGCCAGACTGGGCAGCAGCAGCACCATCCTCTGAAGGCCTGCACTGTGCCTGGCTGACAGTCCCTATGCCCAGGGGCCCACGAGATCCTGGCGGCCACATACCCATGCAGTGGCTGCCTGTCGAGGCAGGACAGCGGCACATGTGAAAGCCACACGGCCACATGTGAAAGCCCCTGAGAGCCAGGCACAACTTCCCGTCCTTCAGCCAGGGGACATGGCTCAGTGGGCATCCCAGTCCACACAGCTAGTGCCATGGCTGGGCAGCCATCCCCATGCCTCACCCTTCACATGCTGGCAGCCTTGAGGGGTTTTGGCTCACTCAGCTGTGCACCGGGGCATCGAGATGGCCCCCTTTGGCTCAGAGAGCTCCTGCAATGAGGAAGGGAGCGGGGAAGGGGTGTGCTCCTGGCACCCAGCAACACTGTCTCCCCACAGGCCCTTCTCTCTGATCACTTCTCCTGGGAAAGTGCCAGGTATTAAATAGCACAGCTTTGCCTTGAGGAACAGGGTCCAAATTCTTCTGGTTTTGCCCTCCTCAACAAGTAGATCCTGCTGCTGGGAGAGCTCACTGTGGCACAGGCACCCTGCTGTGCAACCGAGTTGTCTCTCCAGGCCCAGCTCTTATGTCATGCTTTGCAGCAGAGGTCTGCTCCGTGATGCACTGAGCTTAGCCTTTCCTCTGGCAGTGTCCTGTCTTCACACTGTCCCCATTCAAGGGTGTGGGAACCAACATGTTCCTTACTCACTATGTGAATATTGATTTTCTTTTTTGTCATTAATGCCTGTTCTGTGCCAGGCTCTGGCTGGACCAAGACCTGCATCCAACTGCATATGCACCAAACTGGCATTCTGAAATTGTTCTCATTAGTTACATAAAATTACCATAATGAACCATAAGAACAGAAAGAAACGGGGAGGTGTGAACAAATTATATTTTGTGTTTGGAACTAACTAACATAACTGACTTATGATATACAAGAAATATTCAAACATTATAATCACTTAGTAAATTGCATTGGCTGCTCTTCAGGCCTCTTTTGTATTGATAATTACTATTTTTTTTCAGCTCTCAAACATTTCCCTGACACCATCTGAACTAACTTGTTGAATAAAATGAAATTAGGAAATACTAACTTTTCACTTGCAGAGGCACCTGGGATCAAAACCTGGTTTAAGCATTGAAATAAATTCCTTCCAGATGTTTAGCCAGTTGTACTTCCCAGATGACACTTCTTACAAACTCTTTCAGCTAACATGTACTGTTTGACTATTTTAACTACCTTATTTTGCATATTTGAATAGATCTGAATAATTTTAGGCCTAACATACTGTATGATTATTTCATTTTTAATTTGAGATTAAAAAAAAAAAAAAAGAAATTAATGCAAATTTAAAACATCCAGCTGAAACCAAAACCAAAACAACCCAGGCTCCAAACTTCTTCTTCCTAGACTGGGACTCCTGAAGACTGCTTTGGCATGGCAATGCAGCAAACCCCATTCGGACAAAGAGAGAAAGTTGTTGGTATTAAATTATGAATATAAGAACCTATGATGCCTATGATGCACCCTTGCAGCACTCGCTCCTCTCAGTCTGATTCAACCACATCCATAATGGTTAGCTGCATCTCCCAGCCCTGTGGGTAACCTTGGGTGCAGCATCTACTACTCCAAGCCCAGAATCATGCAAGCATGAAGTATGCTGGGGTTCCCTCAAGCCCTGATTTGCCAGAGTGGCCACTTCCCAAAGCTACCCATAGCAGGATATTTTGATGTACTGCAAGGAGATTCAGTAAGGAAGTGCCTCTCTTTTGCCCCCACTTTCAGAGAAATGTTAGACGGCATTTCAAAGGACTGATACCCTCTCCTTCTGATGGGGACATTGTACGCATATGAGAACTGGCCAGGATCTCTCCTTCAGAAGAAGGGAGACCAAAGACCAGGACTGACACAAGAGAAGAAGTAGTCATGTGTGAGGTCAGTGGCTCAGGAAGAAAAAGGAGAGAGAACCATACCCGGTGGAAACAAAAAGGAAAAAGAATAAAAAATCACGAAGAAGCAGGAGACAGGAAAAAGCTGAGTCTTGAGTCAAGGGGAAAGCCAAAATAAAGTCTGAGAGTAGGAAGGCCAGTGAAGAATCAGACAGACCAACACAGTAACAGACATAACTGAGGAGTACGAAGATAAAGATAAGCAAGGAGCACAGCTTAGACCTGACTAGTTTCTTGCCATCAAGAGGAGTTCCTGAAGATTGGAGGGCACTTAAAAGACTGAGTCTAGAAGGTCCCACTGCTCTTCATCCTTACACGTCCTGGACCATAAGATAATAAAGCACTTTCTGCCATCATAACCTCACTGTATGGTCCATTCCTGCCTCCTTCACCACCATACTGTACTGTACTGTACCGTACCGTACCGTACCGTACCATACCCAAGTTAGTATTACCTCCATGACAGCAGAAGATACAACAGAATGATCATCTGGTGAGCCACAGCTGAGCTAAGCTACAACCTTTGACCTCAGGTATAACTGGCTTGTGGGCTGGACAGAAAAGATGGGTCCTGGCAAAAGTACCTGGTCAGAAGGGGTTCTTCCCTCTAAATCATGCTTCTGCTGGAAGACTTGGAATGGCATAGCTGTTCTCAGCTTCATTACACAAGAAAAATCAAATAATCTGTGTTGGACAAATTCTGCATTTGGTTTCCAAAATTCCCCAACATTATAGAGCCTCATGTGTACTGCCTTTTTTCCATGCTCTTGCCACACACTTAGAAGGCATTTGGCAGTTTCTGGGGAATCTTTGGAAGGAAAAGGCCAACAACTGAGAAACGGATCCTTCTCTGTCATGTAAATGAAAGGAAGGCACATCAAGTAGCTGCTGAAGCCAGAGGAGAAAGATGTGTCCACATATATGAGAAGAACAGGTTTATTTGCACTCCCTCCCTGTTGCAAAATTTCTTTCAATTAACAGTATGTACTTCAAAGTTCTTTATCAACACAAGAATCTCTCATGCCTTGAGCAATTTCTGAGCCTCCTTCCATGGGTTTTATACTTGGCAGTAGAGACCTGAAAATGACAGTCACCAAGAACACTCAAATGATGCTCCACACAGCTGATATGGGACTTGTTGAGTTTGGGACCTGCCTCAAACATCAGTGGCAACTGTCACGATGGCTCCAAGGCAATGAGGTTCTCTGACTAAGATCCAAAGCACAGCCAGACTGCTGAAACACCTCTGGCCCTCTGCTACCTACTGCTCTCTCTCCAGCATCTTGCAAACCCCACAGTCACACTAGCCAAGTGAGAAAACGCTGGGAGCCAAGTTCAGCGTTTAGGAGGATTAGGGTCCTCTTAAGAACTTCAGTGGAGAAATAAACTTGTGAAGCTGGGCCCAGGGATCTCGTGGTGCTCCAAAACCAGAGGGAGAGACACACATTTGTGCCACAGACCCAGAGGAAGAGTTCACAAGTTGGTATACATCTGGCAGACATTGCCCAGGAATCATGTCTCTGATCTGTCCTCAAAACAAGACAGAAAGATACTGGGTCATGCTTGACCTATTCCCAGACACCTCGACCAGCCTACACCACCACCAGAGAAATCCAGGCTCATTTTGAGGAGGTCCCAGCTCTCCCGTGCCACCCATTTCAGGAGAGAAAAGCACAAAGACTGTGCAAGACAAGGCTGCTGACCGGAGAAACTGAAGCCAGGAGCAAGTTACAAGGTGCTGGGAAACTTGCATGCTATTGTTAAGAGACCAGTTTGTGGTCTCCCAGGTACTTTGCTGTCCCACAGCCAGGAGGGCAGCCTTTCCCCACACACACACACGCAGGATACTCACAGCCTGCGCATAGGCGCTGTATGGGCTGAACGGCAAGGTGAGAGATGGAGTGAATATCCCCAGCTGCCCCACCATTTGCTGCATACGACGGAGGGTCCTTTCCTTATCTGTGTCAGCAAACTTCACCACTAGACTGGAGGAGGCACCCTAGGCACAGAGAGAGGAGACAGACAGGAGGCAGGAGAGAAGAGGTGTGGGACAGCCAGAGAGTCAGCAGTCAGGCAAGGTAGGATGGGGCAAAACAGGCAGCAGAGAGGAGTGGGAAGAGGAGCAGAAGAGCAAATATTGGCGTGAAAGTGCTCGGGAGCTGCCTGGAACCTGGGCTGTGCCCTTCCCCATCCGTCCATCCATTCAACCCTTCCCTCTCACACCCTTTCCCTCACACCCTGAGCCCTGCACAGCTGCGTAAGTGGGTGCACACATCCCTGGCTACATTCACCAGGTGATGGTGAGGCCAGGAACACCCAGGTCATTGACAGCCACAAGCACCACCTTTCCACCACCATGAGCTTGGCTTGATAGGCAAAGCAGTTCCTGGCAGCTGGAAATACCCCTGCTGCAGGCAATGCACTGTCCTTCCCATGAGGTGTCCCAGTTCAGGTTAGAGATTGCTTGAGATGAGATCACAACTGCAGCTCCACTTGCACAGGGCGGCACAGCTATGGCTACACAATCCTACATAACACACAAAGCATTCCCACCCGCACCCAGCCCACCCCAGTGGCCTCCTCTACTGCCTAGATAAGAGAAAGTCTAGGAGTGTGCTGAGACACTGAAGTCCTGACCACCCATGTGGCTGAATTGTTAGCTTCCACCCTGCTCAGTTTTTAACTACTCCAGGGAGCTGTTTCCAAAACAAATTCATGGCCTTGTTTTGGCTCTCTTTTATTTAGCCTTTATAGATGTAAGCACTGTCACTACCAGTCTGGATGAAGGTAGCTACAAATATCAGACCAGGAGACAGGATGGTTACTAAGATTAGAGCACGGATGTGCACACACGCATCCCCGCACACACCTCCCAACCACACCAACTGGAAACTTGCAGTTGAACCTGTCATGGTTTTGGAGAGTGTGGGGAGGTCCCTGCAACGGGGTAATGGGATGAGGATTATGAAGAGGGTAGGTACCCTGGCCTTATACTCACGGGCATTGTCTGGCTGCCATGGAGTGCGTGGATTGCTGCCTGAGCCTCTGTGTGAGATGAGAACTTTACAAAAGCACAGCCTGGAAAGGGACAGAAAGAGCACAGGAGATTGCAGTGACAGGACTGCTGTGAAAGTGCCATCACGCAAGAGACAGTGTCTGTATCTCAGGCAAGGCAAAGGAAAGCCACCCCAAGGAAGCAGGGAACAAAAAGGATGACTCATCCCAAGTCCTCTATCCTGGAAAAAAGAGGAAGGGTCTCAAATTATTACTTCAATTACATACTCTACAGATGATGTCACCATCTCCACCCTTGTCCCTGATTACCTCTTCCCCAAAGTCTCTGTGGACTCCTAATTGTGGGTACAAACAATTCAACTTGCAGACGCAGACTGACAGAACAGGCTCACTAGTGATCCTGGTAACTCACTATTCATCGTGTTCTGCTTCCCCTCCTTTTCTCTCAGTCTCTGCCCACCTTCCCCAATCTTTCCTGGCAGCAGATGATTCTTCATGCCCTGCTCCCTATGCTGGGCTGTGATATGGGTTCCCCTAAAGATACAGTGGAGGAATAAGTACCCCAGTGGAAAGGAGGCACAAGCAGTGAGGCTGGTGAGCACTACCTGCAGAGCAGGGAGAAAGGGCATGACACACAGATGGGTTCACACCTTTGCTGTTACCATCAGGTCCACGGAGCACCGTACATTCATCAATGACCCCAAATGGTTCAAAGAGCCGGAGCACGTCATCCTCAGACTGCCGCTTATTTAACATGCCCACAAAGAGCTTCCTGTCCCCTAGGGGCAAACACAGAAACATCAACCTTCTATGAGGCTTAGTCAGTCCAAAGCAGGAGGATAGGGACACTTAAGCACAGAACAGCCTTGCATTAAAAACATGCCTGGCATGGAAATGGTTTGCTGTTGGATGAAATGCTTCCACAGAAGTGAGTGTGCAGGGTCCACCCAAGCTCCTCACACCTGCAAAGGTTTCTGTGGCTTCCCCTATCCTACCATCCCCAACAGAAAACAAAAGATTAATACTTTCCTTTTATTCATTAGCCTTTTCCTTTGAATAATCCAACACAAATGTTAATAAGAAAAACTGCCTGGGCAATTATACTCTTGTTGACCAGTATGTGAAATCCAAGAGGTACCTCTGAAAATACAGCAGACCAACCCAGGCAGGGTAATAAATTCCAGGACCTCTGACCTCTGACTCCACCAAACAACAGTCTAATGGATGCAAAAGGCCACACCTTTGCAATGAAGGTACCGAAGGAAAAGGGACCTTGTCAACTTGCAATCAAATCAACACCAAATCACGAGTTACTCATTATTTTCTCCTCCAGAGAGCCCTGAAATTTCCTGGATAATCCTTGTGGTTTCTTCCTCATACCATTTCTGCTGAATCAAAAGCCTTTTTCTATACCCTGCACTTTGGGAAAAGTCCATTGAAACAGTGAATGCTAGCCTCCGTTCCTGCAGTTTTACTGCAGGTCTTCTGTTGTCTGACACAGCTCACTAACAGAACCTTTTGGACGTCCTGTGTTTATGTGGGAATTTTAGCTTTCCTTTCTGAATTAGGAAGAAAAAAAATGCTAGTCTTCCTGGCTATGCAGAACAGCTTAAAACTGTGATACCTTAGGGACTCAAGCTACAAAGGCAAATATAAATACACACACCTATGGGTTCAGAATCTTTCCTGAATGCCCACAAGAGCAATATTAGAAGGGACTGAAGTCACTGACAACATAAGAGAAAGATTTTTGCACAGTGATTGTTTCTTACAGCCCACTTCCAAAGACTGCACATAGGAAAAAGGTCCAGCCTGTTCCCCTCCGATGCATTTTTGCAGCAGCTGGGGAACCTGTGAAAGGGCTCTTCTGTTGCTCACCTCTACCTCTTCACATCTTGGAGCCCAACCCATGATCTGGTGCCCTCTAGCTTCTGTGAGCTTCCAAACAGAACTGTTCCCAGGCTGCCTCATCCCTTCCCAGCCCTTTCACCTGAGCTCTGCTATCATCATGCCCAAAGCAGTCAATCTCAAACCAGTTGGCATTCTCAGGGCAGTGCTGCAGGTCATTAACTCCTTCAGCTCCCCAGCAGGGGTTTCTGCAGCACTGGAAGATCTCGTCTCACCTACTCAGAACAGCATGCTCTCCTCCTGCTGTTTTTCCTTCACTTTCCCTACAGCTCTTGGTTTTCACCCTCTGATTGGCAATTTCCCATGCTGTCCAGCAACCAGGAAAATTGATTCTGATCTCTGACTGTTGAGTTCCCATGGAAACATGCTCTGGGCACAGTCAGCCACCCAGACAGCAGGAAGTGGGCCATCACAGAGCACATTGTTGATGAAGGTGGTGAGGGAACAAGCAAGGGGTTGAGGCCATAAAGTCCGAATGCTATGGCCGAGAGAGAGAGAAAGAGAGAGAGAGGAGAGCACACAAGTACTGGACACCACTCCTCTAAGCCCAGTGGATTCAGGTCATCTGGCCAACAGCTGTCAACAGCAAGGATCAGGGAGAGAGGGGAAGCCCGCTAAAGCCATTGGGAATGCAGCAAATCTCCTTGGATAAGCATAAAGCTTCCATGTCTCTAGGCAGTACTAGTGGCCTTGGGCTGGCTGTCATATCACATCCCTGCATCAGAATGCTCCAGGTCTCACCAAGAAGCAGACAAGCTCCTCCGCCCCCTCACTCCATCTCCTCCTGGCACTCCCATGCTCACACCATATGCATAAGGGAAAGAAAGAAAAAGCTGACAATGCCTACCCCAGAATCACAGGTCCCACTCTGAACTAATACAGGCAGGAACTTTTTACTAGTGAATTCCTTCTGCAGAGTACAGTAACACCGAGCATCCAGATACCCCTAAACAGCCCCTGCAAGGCTTGGCCAAAACTGTCCCTTTGGCATAAAAATTAGCATCTCTTAGACCAGCAGACAAATTCTGGTGCTCGAACTTCATGTACTTAATTCAGGGTGCTTCATTTGAGAAATGTCAGTCCCTGGAGATCCCCTTAAAGGATAATGCAGAGCAGTGCTTCACTGATGCATGCACCTACTCCCTTTACTAAATTCCTAGTCCAAGCAGTTCTGCCCTGCCCCAAATCTTTCTTTTACCTCTTGCCAGTGTGGGGCTGTTGCTACAGGGAATGGCTCTTCCCATATCTGCCAAGATGCTTATATCCACTTCTCTGACAAGTGGAGCATCATGACAGAAACATTTCAAAAGAGCAACCTGGTTAGACAAACATAGGGTGCTGTCTTGATGCTGCTTCTGCCTCAGGAAAAAAAAACACAGTTTGTCATGGATCCTGTGGGAGCTGTTTGCTTTTCAGCTCTAAAGTGAGGAAGTGAGGTACCCAGGCTGCAGAGAGACAGGTGTTCAGACTACAAAGGCTGCTGCTCTCTAAGGCCTTGTCCACCGGAAGCAGAGTTGATGTTCTGACACTTGCAATCATTAGAGAATGTGACACTTTCCATAAGCTTAGAGATTTCAGAGTCCAGTGCCTTGACCAAAAGCTTGCTTCCAAATCAACATCTTGTTTTTTAACCTGTTGGCCTGTTTCAGCTCTATTTGACAGAGAAACTGAAGCATCAGAGATGTTATGTCCCAACACTTAATACTCGGTGGCTGTGTATAGAAGAGATGCCAGTAGCAGCCCATCAGCAAAAGACGCACCGCAGAAATGACCTCAGCCTAGCAGTAGATATCAGAGATGCCATACTTGCACTCACCAAAGACACAAACCTAAGAAAACAAAGGTGCAGCATGGATTGTCTGTTTGGTCTGGTTTTACTGCTGTTGTGTCAAGACATAATGCAGGGTGACAAAGGTGAATGTGTGCATTTGCCTGGGAAGGTGTGTGTCAAGGGGGCACGCAAGGCCCTGCAGCAGGTCCTGCTGTCTATCTCTCTGGGCTGGGAGGGCTGCTCTGCAGCCATGTCTGACACTTACTGGCTCTGCAATGTTGGCACCAGGATGACTGGCAAAGGCTTTCCTAGGCTCCTATGCTTTTTTTTTTTTAAAGACTCATTAGGAGTAACCTCAGATATAATAACATAATTTCTGAATTAGTTAGAAATCTGGGTTGCAAATTTTTAAATCAGTGTGGTAGGGGATGGACTGACCACCTACTAGTTGAATCCAGAGGCAACATGAGGTGTCAGTGAGTAGTCAGCCCCCTCTACACCCACTGCAGGCATTTCTAAAGAATACTTCATCCACTCCTAACATCATTTTCAACAGTGAAACACCCTGCAGGAACTGGGCTATAGCACAGGTAAGGACCTTAAACTCAACCCTGAACCAGGGGCTGAAATAAGGTGAGATGAATGTGGTTTAGGCACGCTAGTTTCTTTGGAGATTTAAGTCACAGTCCTTTTCAAAAGGAGCATGACTATATGTAGCATTCCTGGGATTGTCAGTATAGCTCAAGAGAATAAATTTGCCCAGACTTCAGTAGAAGTTATCCCTCAAGTAAATAATCAAAATTTACAGATTCTATTTGGAAAAATAATCTATCTGACTTAAACAATTTTTTTTTAAAAGGACAATCACACAACTGTAAATATACACATTCACATTTTATATTATAAAATATATCTCATGTTCCCAACAGTGCAATAATTGAAAGTCACTACAAATTGTTTGGAAATGACCTCTTAAAATTGAAAACAAAAGCCTTCCAAATCTAAACACCGCATGCAGGACATGCTGTCCCACAGCACAAAAAGCCCCACACAAATCCTCCCCTTGCCTCTACTAAACTGCTTTCAGGGGCAGCACCAACAGCACAAGGCATGGAGAGGCAGACGTAGAAATGGAGACAAAAGGAAAAGAAATATATCAGTAAGACAAGGAAGAGCAGATAAATGAATTAATGGATTAGGAAAGGGCTTGTGAGTTGTGAACCCTCTCCACCTGGAGAAGGCATCTGAGCTGCTGAGAGCTTCCCATTAAATGAACAGATTCTCTCGTTCCCAGTCTTCCAGCTCTGAACTCATTGTATGCTGCTCTGACCAAGCTGGTCCCCTGCAGGCTGACAGCACCTCCATTTCAGGATTCTTTCCCTTCAGACATTATTTCCCAATCATGTGATCTTTTCTGCAACAGCACTGCAGCCTTGACAATGTGATGGGGGCTGCTGCAGGACTGAGAGTGGGAGGCTGAGACAGTTCAGCAGCAATGGGGGAGGCAGAGGAGTGAGCTGCAGACAGGAGAATCAGCTGTGGAGCAGTGAGCTGAACGTGGTAAAAAGCCAGTGCTGCTTCAGGGATCTGGCTTTTATCGGGTTGATCAGGTGTACAAATGAAGAAATCTCTTCCCAACAGCTTACACCCTCCAGAAACCTCCATGCCATGCACCGAAGTGCAGGTCTGCTTCAGTAACCTCTTGGGACAGCCACTGTCAGGCTAATAGTACCCTCAAAGAGCTGGGAAAGAGAGTGGAGTAGGCAGCCACATTATCACCCTTAGGATTTAGGGTGCTGTCAGCTGCATGCTGTGTCAAGTTGAAGCTCTTCTCCTGGCCCCCCCAGATCTCTGCCACATATAAACATCTCATACAGAGTGCAGGTAGAGGAAGGCAGGGTCAGGACCCTCTCTCTTTTCCTGGTCCCTCTCACAAGCACAAAGCCACCAAAGGAGAAACAAGGAGAGATGACAACTACCTCCACGGCTCTCGCTGTCTGCAGGTTTCACTTGAATTGGGCGCGCCATCTGCAATGAAAGAGAAATGCAAAGGGTTAGAGCTTGGCCCATCTGCCCAGCACACAGTGCTAATGGCAGTGGCAACTTTCTGCCTGCTGTGCAGAGTACGAGCACGACAGAAGGGAACCAAGACATCATGATGGCAACCAGTACATCCCCTTGGAGAAAGGACCACTTTTCAAAAAGAAACCTGGCACTTTTCCCTGCTCAGCTGCTTGCCTGAGACAACAGCTCTCCTAGAAATGCTCACCATCCATAAACCTCTGCTTCCTATGATGCAGCAAGTGGCAAAGAAAGGCCTAAGGTGAGACTATGCCTGGAAGCTCTTACTATGTCTGCCCTGACTCAGTGCAGGCATGGCCACCTCACCTACTTAAGCCACTTACTCTCCTTGCAGGAGAGAAGAAAGACTGCCTCTGACCTTGGCTAGAAGCAGAACAGCAAGCAGGCATGTTATGTTTCCCCTTCCCCAGCCCTCATGCAGACAGAGCTCTGTGCACCAGAGTGGCTGTTGAGAAGGTTAGTGCTGTTCTCAAGCAACATCTCTGGCCCTCAGGGGCAATACCCAGGTTAAAAGTGCCAAAACTCCTCTCGCTTGGGTGTGGAGAAGAGCTTCTTACCTCTCTTGCAGCCATTAGTGTCATCAGCAATAATCCAACCACAAACAACAAGCCTGAAGGGTAGCTTAGCTCATATGAAATGGGGACTCTCCAGGTAAGACAGAAGTAGCTGCATTAAGGAATCCACAGCTTCAACTGTCTGATTTGCAAAGTAGGGCAAAACTCTTATCTGCTGGCAGGCTTGCGTGTCCTATGCTGCCCAGAGAGGCAACTGACAAGCTGTAGCCTCCTCCTCAGCTAGCAAGATCCAAGTGTGCCAGAATCTCCTCCAAAGAATGGTGCACAGGGCAAATCCACACTCACAGCACATCTCACTCCATGTCTCTCAGCATCATTCAGACAGAGTGACATTCATAATAAAAACCAATCAGAATATCGCAGGTGAGGCCTGCACACAAGCTGCAGGTCCAGGTATAGTCTGTCCCCTCTCTTAGGAAACACCCTCAGGAAAAACAGCAACAAAACACAAAATGAAATCAAGCCGTAAAGGTCACCACCTGAAATGTGTTTAGAAGCCGGCATGCAATATGTGAAAGGCTGTTAGTCTCCAAGCGGTGGCTGAGCCAGGCTGGCCAGAAACTGGAGGTAGAGCCCACATTTACAACAGCTGGAGGAAATGAGTGAAATAAGTTTGCAGTTCACAGGACAAAGAGGCCAAGCTGCTGCCATGCTACACCTCGATAGGCAGCAATGCCAACTCCATCTCCCAGGAGGTGCTGCATCATTTAGGGAAGAGGGAGAGGCTGCAGGTCCTTTTCCCGTTCATCATCAGCTGCATCGATTTGCAGAGCTCCCGATACCCTGTTGCACTGCCATGTGGCCCCAGCACTCACCAGCCTCCAGGCTGCTGCTCCCCCCAAGAGCTGCCAAGGACCTGGCATCTCTTTCATGAGCTGAGTGGGATGTGGGACAGGGATTCAGAAGTAGGCAGTCAGAGATTGCTCCACAAAGCCTCCGATTTCCTTGCTGAGAGGCACAGGCTCCTATCACTGCTCACGGTCCCTGGCAATATGCCTGCGTGAGCTGAGGCTGGCAGTGCTCTGGGAGCGGGTTGAGTGGGAGAGGGCAGGCAGCCCAGATGTGTGCTCGGTGCACAGCCAAGAGGGGCAGCTGGCCATGTCACTCCCCACTGCTCCCATGGTTCTGAGAAATAGTTTTGTTTCTACCCAGGATGCAAAGCCAGAACTAAACTGATGGGGAGGGAGACAGAGGGACAGACTCAGATCTCAGCTCCTATAAGAAGCAAAGCCATTTCGGGGTAGGTGGGGCAGAAGGGCTGCTGTAGAAGCCAAGAGCTAGTAGGCACACATGTCACCCCCCTCCAGCATCACCCACCCAGGGATGCTGGGGCTGAGGGCAAGAAGGATAGTGGGAGGTGAGGGGGAGGTTAAGCACCTGAGGCCATCTCCCTGTCCCCTCCCCCAACAGGGCTGTCACTCCAACTCCTAGCACCTAGGATAAAGGAGGTGTTGTCATGGAAACGGTTATTCACCACATGGAACCTGACATTTGCGGTTGCCATGGAAACCAGCTCTTGGGGGCATTCCCTCTGCTTTGCACAATAGAGACATTTTGATATGATCTCTGGGGAGGGGGCCCCCTCAACCCATCTGTCCCTCCCTATCCTTCCCCCCCCATCCCAGGGACTTCACCCCAGGGCCAACCCCTGGGGTGGTGAGCCACAGCTGGCCCCACTGAACCTGTCAGTGCACCCCACAGGGCCACAGACCCACAAACAGGCTCACAGCAGGGCCAAAACACCATGCAGCGGCAGCAGAGGTGCCAGTGCCAGCGTCAGCACAGTGATGTGGGTCAGTACTGGTGCAAGTCTGGACGCAGCATTTGGCTGCAGTCACAAGAAGAAGCAGGGCTGCCCAGGGCAAGATAAGCATGTGTGCTGCCCTGCACCCCACATCTGCAGCCACAGCTCCTCTCTTGCCTACCTGACACAGCACCTTAGGCGGGCACAGGAAGACTCTCCCTCTGCCCATGTCAAATCAAGCTCTTGGTCAAGGGCTGCCCATTTCCAGAGGTCTTGCCAGCTCCAGTGACTTTGAGAGACCCTCACCAACATGAGGTTGGGTCTCGGGGCTGGTCTTCATCTGTTCTGGAAGATATGGGTAAAGAGAATAAAACAAAATACAAGAAATTTTCCAGATGCTGAGGCTGAGACAGAGGCAGCCTGGTCCTCCTCGCAGAGAAGTGGACACCCAGACACTTCCACAAACAGGACACCACCATTTTAATCCTTCTAAGTCCCCTGTTGCCATCAAAGATGAACAAAATATCAAAGGCATCTCAAGCAGAGGGAGCCCACAGCAGCTCAAATTCAACCACACAGGTCTGAAGACCTTGAGAAGCATCCCTGTGGGGTCCTAAACTTTGTATACAGGTCTCAGACAAAGAGCTCTGTCCCCTACAGAACTCAACGCACAGAAAGGATGGTCAAACTTTACCTCTTCCATTTGAGGGAGAAAGAGAGTAACAGGACAGCAAGGGGGTTTGGGGCTTACACAAACTCTGGAAATACAAATTCTTCTGGCCTCCAGTCATCACCTGAGGCTGCACAGCAATCAGAGAACACACCTGAGTAAGAAAGCCGTATTTGTACATGTCTAGATGGAGCCAGAATCCAGCAGTCAGGATGTGCCTGCCATAACTCCAAGTGTAGAGCAGATGCACATGCACTGACACACGTGCCTTTACCACACAAGAACACAAACATAAGCAAGCACACATGTGGCATGGAGAACTTGAGCAAATGATTTATGAGCCTGCACCTGCCTTGCTAGCTGAGCTTTATTTTACTTGTTAAATTAGTCAGTTGAGCATTATTAGTCTTCATTTCCTAAGAATATCGCATTAATATTTAGCACATGCTGTCAGGACACCACAGGCCAAATGTCCCCCACCCCGAGCCCTTCACACTCACACTTCACAGTCCTCCTTACCCGCTGCTAGCGACAGTCTTTGAGCTGTCAGCTCCATGACCCACTCAACTCAAGGAATCTTCTGAAGCCACATGGAGCAGTGGACACCAGATGGGCAGCACATGGGAGGGGGCAAAGCTCCCACTGTCACTCTCCAGCTTCTCCCTCACATTCGCCCTCATGGCTGAATACACACCTTTCCTTTCTGAACACAGCTGTCCCTCACTCTGCACAGCTCACAGCTCTCAGATACAGTGATTCTCTGCCTGCGTTGCTCTCCCTCTCACAAGCCCCCAGACTTTGTTGGCTTGCTTTCTTGAGGGCTACTTGGTGGGAAGCAACTGGCCAGCTGGATAGGGGCAAAAAGCCATCCTGACCTCTGGAGCCTTACATGCTACAAAGCATAGCAGCTACATGTCTTGCATAGCCCTCAGGGAAGAGTGAGGAGAGACCCATGGTAAGGGAGTCACTGCAGCCCAAAGGAGCCTAGCGACTTCTAGGGAAGACACAAGGGTGACAGGCCTCGCTGTGAAGTGTCTGAATTACATCCTACCCCATTCCCAGTACCTGCTCAGCATAGAGAAGTGGGGAACAATGCTCTGTTTGGGCTTCCTCCCTGCTTTTGAGGAAATGCTCCCCACTTTTGTAGCACTCTTGGGATCAAAGATCTAAGGAAAATTCCTGGCCCTCCTAAAGTCAGAGGAAGCTTTGCTATTTGTTTCACCAAGGTCAAAACAAATGATTTCTCTCACCAAACCCCAAAAAAAGACTTCTGGAGGTGAACTAGCTCCCTGCATTTACATCAATGCCCAGCGTGATCTGTCGGTCATCTCAACAATCTGGGAGCCTTGTTCTTCAAGGAGGAACAGTGACTCCCAGATATCCCTTCCTCAGTGTTTAAACTGCAAAAGCAGCATAGAAGGAAAAAGCCCTCTGAGACAGCAGGGTAAGCCTCTCTATTAATTATGAGTAAGTGATGTAAAATAGCCCCTTAGGTGCAATGCATAGTGTTAAGAGGGTCAGAAGCAAAGAGCATGAAACATACAATGCAGGCTGGTTCCTCTGGGATGTCAGGAACCAAAAGGCATCTATAGCCATTGGCAGAATTAGGTCCTGGGCTCTTAACACTTTGCAAATTGTGGGCTGGTCCTCTTCTGGCCAGTTAAAAATGCCCTGCCTAAACAATCATAACCACTTCTAGCTGGGCAGAGCACATAAATATAAATGCTAATTTGCTCATTTGGATTCTGTTTCTGATCAGGAATGCAAACAGGAATGGATTGGTGCCCGTCTCAAAGCTTGAGTATCCTACTTGCATCTTTCCACTGACATCTCAGTGTACCTTAGTCCTATCCAGGAAAACCATCCTTCCCTGAGAAAGAGGACTTGTCTCACACAGGAACACAGGCAACATTAGTACCAAACACTGCTCTGGCACAGCTGTAAAGGCTGCTTATGA